GCGCGCGAATCGCAGTCCGAACCGAGAAGCCAGTGGCTACTCGTTCGCTGCACGCTTTATCCCCGATTGTTCGGGTTGTTTTGGTAACCGTCGGAACGGCGCTCGATGCCAATAGAGGCGACATAATCTTCTCAGGGCTCCCGGTGCCGCGAACGAGGCAAAGGCCGCGAAAGAGAACGCGTGTCGGCGAGGATTCGTGCCAAATTCGTTGCCAGAGCTCTCTCGTTGCTGCTCTCTTTGCCGCTTCTCTTTGCCACGAGGAAGATGGAAGATACAGGCTCTAGGGTAGAGATAGGTGGATCGGAGATAGAACCTCTTATTGAGGGCCGGGGTGCTTTTATGTGAAGGCTTTCGAGGGAATTAATGCAGAGTTTTGAGTTTTTCCTTTTGTGCGATGGCTGGGTGCATTTTAAAGCGTCGGGAAATAGTTTATTTTATTGCGCATGTGTTCTCGTTGGGAAATTCCCTGCATAGGGTTCATTAAAGGGTTATCTTTTAGAAGTTCCAATTTCTTGTAAATTAAAAATAAAATGGTCGGTGATAGTTGTTTCGAGTATATGAAATTTCAAACGGAACACGAAGTATTATTTTTGGAAACTTGTTTCTGGGAGGGAAGAGTGAAACATCCTTAAGTGGTTTAGAAAAATTTATTTCTTTTTACATATATAAACTTCAGGTTTTAATAACGGATAATAGTAACCATTAGAAATTTAATCGCAATTTGTCGTTCCTCTTTAAAAATACAATACTTGGTATTATATATTTTGATAATATATCATTTCAGCCAGAATCTGAGGTTACTCCTTTTGAAAACTGTTGTTCCTGAGAGGAAGACTAAAACAGGTTAAACGGGTCAAAAAGAATTGATTTCTTTTTAGCCATATATATATATATATATAGGAAACTCCATGTTTTAAGGATGAATTTTAATTACTCCACTCGCCCCTGCAATTTTAACTTCAGGATTCTTCAAACTTCCCGATCACGCACTACAAGTCCAAATCAGAAAGCCCTGCATCGGAATAAAACGTGCTCGAAGCCTTGGCACGTTGGCTATCGTTCTAGCGCGCGACCTTGTTTCGCTCAAACTCGTCCATCTCCATCAATTTCAAACCTATCGACACGAAATTTCCAAGGTGCATTCCTCGAACCCGAATCTCTCACTATACCAATCCGCAAAAGTCGATAGAGACACGCAATTCCTCGTGAACCTTTACATCGGGCTCCATAACTCAATCACGAAATATTTTTACGTCTCCCTTTGAATCCGACTGTATATAGGTAGATAGCGAGCGAGATAGAGGGAGATGATGATGGAACGGTCCGAGGTGGTTTGCGTGGGCGGAAAATATTTTGCAGGGGGATGATAGTTGACGGATAAGAGGACGCGGTCGATGGTACGACGCTGAAGAGGGGACTGGTCCCACGTGCTCGATTGCACCAAGTAATCCGGCGGTCGGCCGTCACTCTATTTTTAACGATACCGGCCGCATATTTAACTTGCACCTAACTTAACCTTATTCCCATCTCTCTCGATCTTTCCTGGTTGCTCATACGTTTCGCTCTTTCGCTCTGGATCGGTCATCACCACGCGTTTCTCCCATCCGTGAATTTTCACGCAACGTCGCTTATTCTCGTTTTCGAATTGCCAGTGTCAAAGCTTGCTTCGAATTCGTTCCCAAGCATCGTTCAAAAATCACGTGACGCTTCGGACCATCTGGAGAGAGGAATAGTCGAACGTCTTTGTCAGTTTGTTGGACGGCACGTGGATTGATTTACTAGGGAATATTTCTCAGAGAGGTAGGAAATCGTAACAGTTTCGAGGGTGGACCCGTAAATTATTTCTCTAGGGTATTTCAAACGAGATACATAAATATCGACGAGATGGTATCGATCGAAGTTTTATTCTTTCGTGTCTGTGTATCTGATTATCTGTAACTGTCTCTGATTTGTCGAGGTCGTCCTGTATTACCTGTTACCTTAGGCTATCGAGCGGTATTAAAGCTCCGTTAGTCATAATCGTAGCTATAGAAAAGAGCAATGTCATACGTTGCCAATATCGATGTTTCCATTTTTATTCGAGGGATTTTTGAGATCTTCTGGAAACCACCAAAGGAATCTTAAAAGGTCCATGCTACGATTTCCTCTCAATTTTAGTTTCATCATTATCTATATTCCAGGGATCGAGATTTAAAAAGTTCGTACCGAACTTTCTCCTTTATTTCCATTCGAAACGTATCATTTCTAATACAAACGTCTAAATCAACGGCCACGAATCCTGTGTTCGAAGCTGGCATTCAAGATATCTTCAAGTCCAAGAAATGCACGCGTCCTCGACGATTTCAATGTTACGAGCGCGAAGACAAGTCTTATGCAACCGGTTGCACACTGGTGGAAGTTTAAGGCACTCGCCAGCGTTTACGACTTGTTGCAACTTATTATTCGCTTGTTCGCTGGCTCGATTCATTTCGCTCGCCAAACACGAAACACTCCAAGACAACCTTTAGTTGGGCGACTAAAAATAAACCCCCACTTGAACGCCGCGTTTTTTTTTTTTATCGCGGTTGCTCCGTTATGCAAGCCGACTCGAGTCAAACTTTTTCGGATTGCGTTGCAAAAATTCAACGGAGGCTAATCGGAAGGGATCGTTTGAAAGAAAAGTTGGAAATTGGCGGAGAAAGGAAAGTCGAAGGATAGAAAAATTCAAGGGAGGGTAATTAAAAGCGACGATTTAGAAAGAAATACTAAAAACGGGAGAAGAAGGGAAAGTTGAAGAATAGAAAAATTCAAGGGCGACCAATTAGAAGGAATAATTTAGAAAGCAAAGATTAGAAATAGATGAAGAAAGAAAGGAAGCTTTCTTCTGCGAATCTTTTTCACAGGGGTCGAAGAGGTTTGCTAACGCCTAAGAGCGAAATAGAGACGAACGAACGTAGAATTTGACAGAGGCTAATTAGAAGGGAGCATTTAAGGAAAAAATTAGAAACAGGTGGACTGTTCTCAACTTCCCTCCTTTTCCTAACGCCTAAGAAGAATCTTAGAATGTTATCTTCCATGATAGAGGAAGAAGATCTGCTAAACTCACTTTCCAAAACCCATGGTCCCATTTTCGATGAACCAATGCTTATAGTGTGCGGATCGTATGAGGTATGCGTGCAAGAGGAATTTTAACGTGCTTTCTACGAACGAAAGCGACCAACGCTCACATCTTCGAAGTTCTCGTGCGTGATTTCCACACGACCACGCGCTCATGCTGTCCGCCACGAGCATTTGGGGTCCCGCTGGTCAATTTGCGACAATTACCGAGCCGTTGCGACTGGTTAAAGTCAGTTAGAGCTCGAGTCGCGCTATAGTATAAGCGGGGACACGAAGAGCAGGGCTGCATCGACGGACTCGTAGGACCTACACCTGAACAGCGATTGTTTCCGTATGTTTCTTCTTTTATTACCTTCCACCGATCCGTACTTCCATCTTGCACATTATTCATTTACAAATAGTGCGCTGGAATTCACTAGGAAAGTAATGTTTCACTGGTAAAGGTTCTTCGTAAATTCTTTATCTTTATGTATGAAGTAGTTTTCTAAGTCACCGTGTGTTTTCTAGGATCATTAATCGTTCTATTTACAAAAGCGTAATTTACGATGTGTTTACTATCGTTGTTGTTGTTGTTGTCATTATCGATGCTGTCATCAGTGGGATAACGCACTTATTGCGCATTCGTTGGAGAGTATATCATAACAGAGAGTTACTAGATCGGTGCGTGAAAGCGAGGCATGTCCAAAGGTTGCTTGCTTACCTGCGAAATCGCGTGGCCCTGAAACTGAAACGTACATGTCTACCAATCAGTATAAAAAGATTGTAAAGAACGTAAGGGTGTAAATAAATAGACAGCGATGGTGATTTCTTTCGATTTATTTGCAACTTGCGGCGCAGGTATTTGAGGGATTCATTCGTCAATTTTTGCCTGCTTATTTGGCTAATAATTAGCTTTTCATTTAGTTAGGTTTACCAAGTTTGTTTCCCTATTTTCAAGGAGAGCTAGGCGACGAGTAGACGACCAAAGAGTTCGATGGCACTTCCGAATGCAAAGTAGGAGGCAAGAACGCTCGATCTTTGAAGGAAGGGAATGATAATAGCGGGATGATATGTAGGGCAAAGAAGCGCGCATAAAGAAAACTTGGTTGTACAATGATAAGGATAGATATGATTGCGAACGAGTGGGATGGACATTCATCCCATTTACGGATCGTTCTTTATTAACCTCGATAGTACATGCTCCATCACATACCGCTAAAATTTCAATTTTTATTCAAATTGACAACGATCGCTTTATTAAAGAATTCTTCGTATGAATATTCCCTTTCTAAAAAATGAAATAAAAGAATACTTCTCCAAGCAGAGACGAACAAAATTCTCATCCGACTATCCACCGCCGAATAAAATCTTCGATCAGTTATCTCCACTGAACACTGCAAAATCAATTCAGCTTTCGCATCGAACGACGAGGTTATCGCAGTAAATTGACACACGGAGCTTTTTATCCGCCATCGAATCGCTCCCAATAAAATTCTGCTCGTATCTGCTCGAAAAGCGTCACACTTCAAAGAAAGCGCGTACTCGAGGCTCTCGAGTGCGTGCTCGAACGACACGTTGCGCAAATAATAACGCGGCTTAACCCCGGGAAACCATAAACCCCGCGAACTTTATTATCAACACGTATCTTTCGTTTCCACGACGCGTTCTCTCGAGACTATCTCGTTAAACGAGCGGATCTTCGTCGGTGAAAATCCTTGGCTGGTCATTTTCATACCGCGCCGATTATACGTCGTTTCTTTCCGCCCGACTTGCACGAGCACGAACGCAATGGGAGCAACCTTAACCTTCGCGATAACCTATCTCGCACCATGCGTCGAGAAAGCCGCAGTGCGCTTCTAAACTCTTTTCGCCATGGTTGCTATATCATAATTTTTTTTTTTTTTTTTTTTTTTTTTTTTATAAATATTCGGGAAATCTCCCTTTTATTTCTGTTGAAAAAATTTAGTTTATTTTCTGAGTGAGGATTGAGATCCGATAGAGGGATCGTTTTGAAACCTGGATTCACTTCAGAATTGTGTCTTGAAGCTTTGGACTATTTTCTCTCGGGACAACACATTGCTACACCGTGTGCATGATATCTCAGCACGCATTTGACCCCGCGACCTGATATTTAAATATATTATAGATAAAGTAGATAGCGTTAGACCTACGCGATAAGGCCTCTTTGTTTCGGATAAACGATTCGCATGAAATTATATATCGAGGTCGAATTTTGTCTCTTTTTCTCGAGGTGATAAAAGTAGCAGATAGAATGTTATTTATGGAATCGAAAATATCTCCCGAAGATACGTTGAATTTCGATCGCGTTTCCAATTTTCTACCTAGGTATCCCTACGCTTAAAAATAAGATTACAAAATCGAGCAATTCTCGGAACGAAAGTATAACGGCCAATCGAAGTAACTTACCGCGCCGAAGAGAGCAGTGAAAACAGCGACGAAAATCCGTAACGGACGCGTTCGTTAACACGTCCCTAGACGCACGAATAACGATTACGGAGTTCATCAATAGTCATAAACTCGCCACGATTAATTCTGGTATAATGATTTTCTTTTCAAACGGGGCACCCGATACGTAGGAAATGTTGATGTAAAATTGATTTTTCTTTTTTTAAACCAACACGCAGCAAAGTCGACGTATGGCGCAATAGACTCGAGGATTCAACGATTCGCGCGGATACAATTCAACTTTATTCGACGGTTCGAAAATCGACTCGCGTTGCGCGATTAAAATAATGCGCCCGTGGGAACTTGGTTGTTTTTCTGACAGATCAGGCCAAATGAAGTTGTACTGTTCGCGCATGATAGCGCAGCGAAACAGGCTACTTAATTAATTATCTCCTCTAATTAGGTCGTTGCGAAAGAAGACCTTCACAGGGTCTCATTAGCGTGGTGAATTAAACGCGTGTCAGTATCAAGGACTGCGTGCGAGAACTCGGCCGTGTTAAATAAAGGATAAAAAATCTTATAGATTTGTTTCGTTATTCTTGAAAATATTCAACAGGAACGTTTAATATTTTATTTTGTTTGGTAATTGGTAATTAGGTGGTCCTCGACGAGTGTGTAGATTGTATTATTATTTTCTTTTTATTTAAATAAGACTAGCATACAGTAATTTATTCGAGCCTTACCCGTTCATTGTGAAACATTTCGTTGTATAATTCAAATCCTAATCTCTGTTTGACGAGTAATGAACAATAACTGTGGTCGACTATTTAAGAATTATTTTCACCAGATTCAAGAACAATTTTTATCTATTCACACATAGTAACGGGGACACTTTTCAATAATATAGCCTGTTAATATTCATTTTTTTCTTTGAGAGTAACACCATTTCTATGCTCACTACCGAATACATTAATCTTGTAACTATTAATCGGGACTTGTTCATTATTCTAAATTTGTATTCAGAACGCTCCATTAATGAGTTCAACATTATAACGTTACTTGGGTTATCAGGCATTAAAAAAAGCAAGCATTTTTTTTTTTAATAATACATTAAATTATCTAACCGCTATCGAGCTATATCTTCGGGAAAATGATTTTGCAACGATTCAAATCTACCCCTAATAATTGTCCAAATTAAAATAAGAAAAAGAAAAAAAGCTCCCGATAGCATTATAGATAATTTAATATATTATTCAAGCGTACTTGTGTTTTGAATTTCAGATAACCCAGCTTTGAGATAGAGCGCTCGCCGCGGACGGAATATTGACGTGAAAAATACTACAACGCAACTTTCTTAATTTAACGTACTTCTAAATACTAAGATCGCAACACATTCGTTAAGGAACGTTCCTCGGGAAATTCTCCGTTTGCCCCAGAAAAATTCACAAACTCCTTTCCCGAGAGTTTGGTTTCTCGAAACTTTACCTGTGCAAAATATCTTAAAGCAATTTCCACATACCGTGGAACTCGCTTTATCCCAATCGATCCATGGTCAACCAGGCTCTGGATAGTTCATACGAGTGGAGTTGACGAATAAGCGAGTTCTCCCATAAGCGACACGTTGCCCGAGCCAAATTCAGATAAAACAAGACCTCACGAAAGTGTCGAAACAACCGAGTAGTGTCGTGGCCAAGTACCGTCGCCGGTCCAGATAAACGAACTACCGACTCTACTAATATTCTTTTTATGCAGCCGTCCGATCCATAGTTCTTGATCCAGCAATTCTCGCGTCCCTGGTTCCCCGAGCGATCGACTATCCGTTCCCGTCGCGAATCTCGTTCGAGGCTCGCGACGCTGAAACGCAATCGTTACGTAAGAGGAACTGGCCAGCTAGAAGCCGCGGCCATGTGGTTCGGTGTCTCGTACGAGGGTCAGGACCCGAACGGAACCGATTGCACGGGGGGAGCAGCGACCAGTGCGCCCGTACCAACCGCTGAACTAGGCCGTGGAAGATGCTCGCCGATTCGCGCTCCGAGATCGCCACCGACGCCAGTATCGTTTCGTACGTTGCACGTGTTCGCGCGATCGCGGCTCCCACGATCTCGCATCGCGCGATCTAATCGAGATCCCACCTCTTTCGACGATTTAACGCGTCCGTCGTCGCTCGATCGAGGATCCACGATTCGTAAACACGGATAAAAGGCCGATTTACACACAGGTGGTTGTTGGGATAGGTACAGGTGGTCGTTGGGAAGATGATTTTGGTGTCGAGTTTTTAGTGGCGCGAAGTGTTTAAATCGAACGACGAGAGGATTATTGATCTAGAGATTCTAGAGGAAACTAAAGCTGGGCGATGTTTGGACAAGTCTCGAGTTCCTTTCTTTATCTCCATTCGTACAATTTTTAACCGACTTCGAAAAGTAGGAGGTTACTCGATTCGACATGTATATTAGTTTTTCAAACATCGACCCCACAAATTGAGAATAATAATAAGTCTGGAGTTCCGTCTTCATCTCCATCCGTACAATTTTTATTCTCGATTTATGGGCTGTGTATATCTCGCCAAGCTTCGACTCGATCGCACTCTGAATCTACCAACCTCTCTCTGTCAATAATCTATTCAACTCGTGCGCACCACTTTTATTTTCAAATTCAGGAACATTAACAAGGGCTCTTAGATTCCCCCGAATCCTTCTCGATATTAAACCTCATGCTCCGTCTCGGTTCTACATCTCACCTTGGTCGATCGAACCGCGAACTACGCCTTTACTTTCGACGCTCTAAAAACTCTCACTCGCGCCCCACGTGCTACCGGTAGCGGAGGCCTTGATACCTCGGCCCGTTATCTCGCGACGCGTCACCAGTTGGTTTGCACCAGGTAGGATTTCTGATTGCAGCGGCGTGGAGCACGAGGATGAAGTGTATAGCGCGCGTCAGCTCGCAGCACGTGACACCGAGCAGCAGAGCCTCGTGAAGCCCGAGAAGCTGGTCTCTACCAGCGAGACTGTTCCGCTTACGAAGCTGCAACTCCAGGTGCAGGTGGAGACCGACCTCGAAGAGGTCATCGAAGACCCGGTAGACAAGGAATACGCTTCGACGCGCGCGGAAGAGGAGTCGAGCAGCCCTCCGTTCAAGCGAGCGAAACCCTTGGCCGTGACGACATCCACGTTTCGCTTGGCGGGCCAGAAGGCCGAAAAGGAGCCGGGTCGGCTTCAGGACGGCTCGCGGAAGGATAACACCTTCCCGAGACCGATCCACGACACAGACAAATCCTTCGTCGGTGTGCAAGCTCTCAAGGACTCGCTCGAGGAGTCCCTCAAGGAAAACGAGGAGCCGAAACGAAAGCGGCAAACGCCTGCGCGTCTTCCGTTTATCTTCCAGGTAGGTTACTTCCTTCTGCACTCTGTGGAGTTGGCCTCTCGAGGTTAAGCTTTGCTGATACTAATCGAGGCTTCTGGGTGTGAGCTTTCTAACTTCTTCAGTGGTCAGGGTGTTACTTGATACGTTGTAGGTATTAGAAATGAGTGTTTAGGACATGGCTTGCAACTGTAAGAGCGAGGTGGGTACCAACCATAGAGTTGAGATTAAGATTGTGGGAATCCTCAATATCTTGCCTCCGACACTGTTGATACCCACCGAACCATCTGGGTGCAAGCTTCCTAGCCTCATCACCGATCACTGTGCCACCCGTGACCCCTAGTCTAACACCTGGAAGCTTAAATCACCACCAACCAAGAGTCCAACTGTTTACTGGAACGATTCTGTCGTGTTTTTAGGGCAAGCCCGCGGTGGAATACGATCCAGAGGCCACGGTTCGTCGAGACAGGCCGCAGGCGGTCACCAGACACCTGTTTGCCCCCATATCTGCGCAGCAACAGCAACAACAACAGGAACAGATCACCGCTTGCCGACCACCGCCGCAGACCACAACAGCGAGCACCTTCGCGCCTCGTACCGAGGACATGAACAAGGGTTTCTTGACTTTCAGCGAAGATCACCCTGGCCTTACGAGTGGGTATCTTTCTCTCCCGAGTCTCATTGTTTCACCCTTTGCACTCCAAAGGCTCCTACAGCTGGATGCACGATACCTTTAAAACTTAGGGATCCTATACTAAAGTTACTGATATACTAAAACAAGGTCATCTGGGGTGCAAAGCGTTGACTTCTAAGCATTTGATTGCTTCGGAGAACGGTTTCCTTTCTTTATTTTAATCCTTTTTAATTCGAGAAACTCATGACCCTATGATCCACAAACACAATGCTTCCACACTCCGCGAAACCTCCATCGCACCTTCCTTCTCGCCAACTGTTCAATCAAGCCAAGTTTCGTTAATCAGCTCTAGTGAATGTTGCAACGACGATAACAGCAACAAGGGGCACGGTACCAGGGGAGGTTGGGGCAGGGGAGAGGAGCACTCGCGTCAGACATGATCAGTAATAAATCTCGACAGGCCGCGGTTGCAAGCGCGGGAGACTGACACGCGTTATTTATCGCCCCGGAAGTAAACCGGTCTCTGCGCGTAGCTCGATCGAATTTCTCAACGACGCTTTGTTACAGTGTTGAAGGACGAACCAGAGGACTTGACGCATCTCGCGCCGACACCTGGCGACGTCTGCGTCCCCCTGGAGGACACGCCGTTCCTCACCGACATGCTGGACGAGTTTATTCTCAGCAACGAGAATTATTGTCCCCTGTTGAGCCCTGGTAGCGCTCTGCCGTCGGAATTGCGCTCCACGGATTTCGGTGACCCTCTGAAGGACGCCGATTTGGGCGACAGCTCGAGGGACAAGAGCCTGGGGGAGTCGCTGGCCGACAGCGATCCCTTCATGTACGGGGATTCGCCAGGAAGTCCTTGCAGCATCGACCCCAGCTCTGTTTCGCCTTCCTTCGCTAAATACCGTCAAGTAAGTCGACCGTTTGGCGTTACTTAGCTTGTAGAGTTGACGGAAAGAGTATAGCTCGTGGCGAGGTTGAATGTCTTCTTAAGGATGAAGACGATTGTAGGTCTTTCGGACGCTGAGCAACGCTTGATAATGCTTGCGCGCGTCAAAGAGCATCGCGTGTGAGATGATTTGTATTTTTAAAGGTAGCCTCGAGTGCCTCGCTATATTCCTTCTATCAAGTATCTTTTCAATCGATACTAGATGATTCTCTCTATCTACAAACGTGGCATTCTCTAAACACCTGCCTAATTGTATAATTCTGTTGCAGAGCCCCGAACGAAGTATAGATTCGCTAGGCAGCCCAACGGGTGGCAGCGGGGCTGAGGGGCTGTCAGAGGATGAAATGTTAATGTTGGGTCTCAGCGACAGCATCGCAGACGACGAGTTAGCGTTGAGAGCCCCGTACATCCCAATGTCGGACCAGGACGAGGCACTGGACCTGCTCATCAGCGACGACATGGTGATGTGGAGTCCACCGCATACCACAGACAAAAATTGCTCTAAATGGTACGAGTCCACCATCATTATGTCTCGTTTTTATTAGTATAATCATGTACTTGTCTTACGTTGTATATTTTTCTTAATATCGTTATCTTTACTCTACGTATTTTGCGTATCACGTACACCTTAGGTCCTGTCTAAACGCTCCCAGCTATTAACCTGTTTCTCTGCTTCCTCAGGATTATAGACGAGAAAGACCAGCGACCGTCCGACTCGAGTTTAGCGCAACTGTTAAAGACAGACCACCAGGTCGTCTCCAAAAAGTTCAGCGACCATGGAGGCGGGCTGGTCAATCCAGTTCAAGTTCTTGGCCAAATTCCCAGAAAAAGTGAGTCTCGTGGGGGGGTCGTCTAGCCTCTATCCAAACCCACGTTCTCGCTCACGTAACGGACTAGTACATCATGCACTTACATATACATAATTATTTCTAATTCACGGTATATCAAAGTGACGCGTCTTAATTTTGGACGTTAAACGCGAGAACGTTGGTTCAAGGCTATGTGCAAACCTTATTGATCGTTATCGTCCTCTTCAGATACGAGCCTAGACACCAGCCACTGGCCCTCCAAGCTGGACAGACCCACCAAGCGCATACACACTGTCTCGATGGACACTGTGCGCGAGAACAAGCGCATCAAGTGTGACGAGTCGACGAAGATCGATCCCCTGATTTTGGAGGATCACTTGCAGAGCAAACAACAATCGTCCACGAGGAAATCGACAAGTATCGGTGGCAGCAGCCAGCTGCTGCGTCGTCTCGTGTCCCAGCAATCGATTCAACGGAACAATGGTTACCCGGTCGACTCGTTCGGGAACGCTATGAGCAATCACGGACAGAGCAATAATCGGATGTCGGCCGAGTTAGAGGTCGTCGACGAGGGGGAAGGGGATAGCGGCGGTGGCGGTGACGGTGGCGGCGGAAGCGAGGGCGGGGGCGAGGACGCGAGTCGAAAATCTCTGCGTCAGGCTACTGCGAGCTGCAACAGCGTGCTAATGAATCTCCTGGTGTCCGGCTGCGACGTGAGTGCGGGATACGTTTGCTTCGCGAAACCGAAACCCTCCAGGAGCATCGCGAGCACGTGAACGCGTGCGGTTCACTCTCGCGTTTACTCCAATTGTCTTCTATACTGTCCAGAAACGTATTGTTGGTTGGCTAATTCCGTAGATCGCGCGAGCGCGTTCAGCGTACGAGATCCGAAAGAGGAAGATATAGATGTATTGACTTTTCTCACCGATCCGTAGATCCCCGAAGTCGAGGTGGCATCGATTGTAAACTTCGAGCAGATATTCATCTTCTTATTTTGTTTTCTTTTTTTTCTTTTTTTTTTTTTTTTTAAATGTGTTAATTGTACAAAGCACGGAGAGCTTCATCGAGTCGCGTCGTGAGGGTTGCAGTCGATTTATGCGCTCCGTGTAGAGTCGATGGAGGTTTACGAGAAGGCGTTGCGTCCTGTTGGGGACGAGAGGGTTTCTTCGTGGTGACCCACGCGAGGGAATGGCGATGGAACACACGCGGAGCGGTCGTTGGATCTCGAGAAGGCACAGCTTTGTATATTTCAAGCAGACCAGATTCTTACCGATGTTTCTAGGCGTACCGATTGTGAAACTATTACGGGTAGTCCAAGTATGATCGCCCGTTGCGATTCGACACGGAGAATGATCAAGAATCGAGAGTTTTCAGGGAACACGAGCGTCCGTGGGCGAGTATCGTAGTACGTTCGACCGTGTCCGCTCCGTCTTAAAGTCACGTTATGTATTCTACTTGCAAAGTATATGGAATTGTTGACTGAAGATTGTCAGAAGAAAAGAAAAAAAAAAAAAAATACATTGAACATTGAACATCGAATCATCTAAACTGCTGCGTTTCGTTTCCTCCTTTCTCATCCCTACTGCTCCGTTGTTCGCATTCCATCGAGTCTCATCGCTCGAGATCAAGAGATTAAGTTTCGAAAATTGTTTGCAATGTTAACTCGAACATTAACTGAAATAAAGTTAACTGATACCCGAAGCAAAATGCGCTTACGCGGTTGCAAAAGAATTTTCGATGATAAAAAGAGCGATCGGATCGAAACAGTTCAGTTTTTTTTATACTTTATAGGTTATGATGCGATTACATCGATAGATATCGTATCGATTAGCTCTTATTCCTAGTCGTAAATATCACGAAACCAAGAAAGTACAGTTTTTTGTATTATTCGTTCAAATAAACTAGTAGCGTGTATCTTTTTTTCTTAGAGATAGTTACGATCCTCGGGTTATAAATCTTTTCCCAGTATACCAGACAGTATCATTGATGATAATTCTGTAGTAAATTCGATTAACTAGAGCCTGATTAGGATCGATTTCATCCCTCGAGTGGGTAAACGTAGTTTACTTCTATGTATACTAGAAGAATATAACGCAGTTTGAATTAATATTATTTGCATTTACAAATGTCTCCCATCTTCCTAGTCTTTCACACGAAACGCAGCATCTGAAGGTACAGAGTTAGCTGCAAACAGTCGTTTCAATAAATGAATATTAAATATTTTTACTGGACAATTAGAACTATGCCAATGCAAGTTCTGGAGGGTTGAGGTCCGGAAAGAGGGATAACAAAGTAGATCCCAATATTCCCATTACATGCTAACCATAGCTATTGCTTTTTTCAGGAGAACCTGATGGAGTCGCGCAACGTTCCCACGTCGCTTCCAAAGGGTCTGACTTCGCCACTTTCTGTGAACCTGGAGAACCAAATGGTGCCTCAATGTCCCCGTTCAGGTGGATCCACCGCGTCCTATGAGCTCAGCCCAGACGTGAAGAAACACCTACTGCCTGGAACATTCATCAACGAAGGGGGATCACTCGCCTCGCCCTCTTCGACAACGATGTCTTTCGAGAACTTCGACTATGACCCGACCTTGTCGACCAGCGGATTGCTGCAAGTACAGCCAGACCTCTTCGGGTCTCTGCTGGATCGGAATCTCGTCTAAGCAATAGCGTTCGATGCGAAACAACACAACGGTTCGTCGCTGATTCGATAGGGATTAGAGTAGACAATGCAATATCCGGATCGGTGTAGATTGCGAGAATTTAACCCTTTCGGTGCTGTATTCTGTAATTAGCGATTAAGTCTATCAATGTAAACCTTAAGAGGCCTTCATGACATGGTTCATAATTGTTGATATTAACTGAAACGGGTTCTTCAGGATTCAGATAACATTCATCAGTAAAATTTATATATCGCTTGATACATAATTTGTACCAATATCGATTTGAAAATCTTGTAACAGTAAAAATTTCTTTAATTCTGTTTAACATATATATATATATATTTCAAAGGAACAATTCAAGGAGGAGTACTACGGTCTTTGATTAGTTTTAGCAGAAGCAGAATGCAAAGTTTGTCAGACTTTGAACCATCGAAGAAGCTAGTTGGATTACTTTACTCAAAAGTAAGACTTAGAGATTCAGTTAATATCAAGGTGAACTTTGGGACACGTTACCAGAGTTCAGCAAGCGTGTTCAACGAAATGTTCTTAGCACCGAGATGGTTAAACGATAGAGCGATGCGCGTCGGGACGACTCGTGGTAGATCGGCGATTTCGCGTGCTGTTCAGAGATATCCATATTTTTTCACCTGTAATCGTGCCGCGTGTCGTTTCGACCCGTGGGTCCAGCGATCGAGGGGTCTTTTTAAACGAAAAAGTGCCAATGCATTTTTAGAAAGCTAGCTGTTAGGTTGTTCGGCGCGAAGGAACGGTCCTGCTTATCGCACAGACAATGATCATGATATAGAATTCAATTTTATTAATTATATTACGATGCTGTCGTTTGAGCTGGAGAGATTGTTCATTAAAAATCATGGGTAGTCTTGTGAAAATAAATCGAGGAAAAATATCTTCTTATACCTCAGCGTTTCAACTCGTGTTATCTTTTAGAAGTGAATTGAAATGCAAATGATGAAAAACAAAATTGTAATGTTTCATTTATGCAAGGCGACCAATATTTTCAGTTAAAAACATTCAATTCGCGTAAAACAGAGCATAGTTCTTCGTCTGAAGATAATAATTCGGCCGCGTGGGACGAGTGCATTTTTAATCACGCGAACGTGTTTTTTATCGCATTGATACATTTTTGTATTTCTCCATTGTATGAAGAAGTATAGAGGATAATCAATGTCACCGTGGAAGAGATATCGAATGGAAATTGTAAATAAAAAATTGAATTGCTATAAGAACGCGTAGCGCTCGTTGATTATGCTTTGACGAGCAAATGCTGCGCGCTTGCGACGAGTCGTGTGCGATGAAAATCCGTTGATCGCGGTTCTCGTCGTTGTTGTTACTGTTTTTTAATAGTTTTTAACAAAGCCAAACCAATTATCAGTTGTTACTATCATACATGTATCACGATTATCGTTCTTTGCACGCAAACAAAGAACAAAATGAGTATGCTAATTGTGTATTTTTATTATTACTTATCGATGCAATCAGTGTAACGGCATACTAATTTTATTATTTTTACCATCGTCTGTATTTTTATTCTCGGCACTTCACCATCGTTATTGCCGGTCTTTACCTGTAATACGATGCTGGTACAGACGAATATTATTGCGAGAGAATCAGTTATGATAAATAAATAAATGGTCTTTCTAATATATCAATGTTTGCTTGTTGTAAAGTTAATTTTAACGATATCATCGGTAACTTGTCATTAGAATTAAAATAAGGAGTCGGAAAATGAATTAAAGGCAATTGTGACACGGTAAGTTTGTTTTAAACTCTTTATTAGCAATTTAATATACACATTAATAATTATTGAACATAATCAATAATCTGTGAAAGTATTTGATCGAAAACAGAGCCACGAAACTTATTTACAGATTTACATTAAAGAATAGTTATTCTATTGAAAGTAAATTGATAGAAATCAATTATGAATATTTTGTACGACTAGAGTAGACATATTTGCGTGAGCGCGAGAGAGAACGCACCAACGTGCGACAAGTATAACGACTATTTACATCACGCCACGGTACACAATATGGTTCTTTCCCCAACTGTACTAGTCAAAACAAAACTCAAATACCGAAAGTATTAATAAAGATATATTTTCTATAATAAAATTCTTAACGTATTATTCGATTATGATTTTTAATAAAAAAGAAAGTAGTAATTAATACAATTACAAATGCAATCAGTTTTTCAATTATCGTTTCATCCAGCATAGACGTTATGCAATCGAATATGTGCGCCTTTAAGATGACAACCGAACTGACAAACATGCTACCAACGGTGGCCACACAACAGGAGCACCTCAGCGCCTACGAGATGACAACCGAAACGACAAGCAGGCTAATATCGGTTGCCGCATACCAGGGGCATTTGTGCTCCTACGATAGAGCAATTGGGCGTACAAATTTGCCAACGTCGGTTGCTATCTAGTAGGGGCACACTCGTGCCTTCTGGATGGCAATTAAATTTTCGTTCTCATTTAAACACCTCCTAACACGATTTAACATTTTGATATCAGGAACACATCTAATTCTGGCCAGATATTCCTCAAGCCACCTCCTCGCATATCATGTGCTCCTGATACCAAAAGTAAGATTTGGCCAGAATTTGATACGTATCTTAAATTCCTCGTGC